ACTAATGCAAAAACCGATAAACTTCTATTAGAAAATGTTACAGAAAAATTATTTTTCTATGACTTTATTTATTGGACAAATATCGGTTTAAAATGCCAATTTTTTATAAATCTCGGCTGACAATTACTGCGGGACCGATTAACATCCCTAGTCTATAATTAGGGATGTTAATCGGTCCCGCAGTAATTGCCAACTGACTTTTAGCAAGATTTATAAAAAATTGACATTTTTAACCGGTATTCGTCCAATAAATAAAGTCATAGAAAATAATTTTTAGTTTTTGATGGGACCGAACAGTGTGGAGAAAATTTAGCTAATTCGGTCCCTAATCGGTCCCATCTAAATTACTCAGAAAAATTATTTTTCTGACTTTATTTAATGGACGAATGCCCGGTTAAAATGCCAAAATCTTGCTCAAAGTCGGCTGACAATTATTGCAGGACTGATTAACATCCCTAGTCGAGAATCTCTGTAATTAGGAAATTAATAACACAAACCCGACATCCAAAATCCCGAAAATACAGGTGGCCATAAAAATGTCGCGGTCTCACCTCTCCCGACCCGAAAATTCGGATTACGCATTACATTAAAATACCAATAGCTTTTTAAATTTACGTAATAATTTAACTTTTAGTATTTTAAATGTAATGCGTATATTGGGTCGGAATAGGTCGATGATCACGAGACCGCGACATTTTTATGGCACGACTAACCCACCTGAAAATACTAAAATCCTAATATGACATCAAAATTTTTAGTATTGTCGGGATTTTAGTACTTTCGGGATTTTGAGTGTCGGGATTCAAGAAAAACACTCGCATATCTTTCAATTTAATTCAATGCAGTGTAATTTGAGTTGATTCAAACTTTTTTTGTCTATTTATTTAAAAAGTGTCGCCCTCCTCTCAGCTGCAACAGCCAGAAAATGATCTAGATTATATACAATCTCTGGTTGAAAGATTATCACATGACGAGCGAAAAGAATTATCTACCTATTTATATCGGTATATTTTTACAAAAGTCAGTCAACTTCCCAATTGGATTAAATATAGTATAGGTTTCCTCTCTCCGGGGAGTGACAAATATTGCCGCGTAAAATTGGGCCAATTTGTTATGCGGCAATATTTGTCACTTCCCGGAGAGGGGAACCTATACTATATTTAATCCCAGTCAACTTCACTTTAATAATAGATTCTTTATCTTGTGTAGGCAGCTGAATCGTGATGTGATATCCACGCTCCCTCATCCATTGCTCATCTATCTTCTCAATTTTTTTGACATAGAAGCTTTATGCAGATTTAGACAAGGTAGATTCTTTATAAATCGCGTTTATCTTAGTGAAAAAGTTTTGCCTTTTTTTGTTTTTTTTTTTTTTTTACATGATATATTTATCTGAAAATAAAGACTGTATTTAAAAGTTTTTTTTTTCCTACCTTGATCTAAAATAAACCTAATATTCACAGTGGCAATCGAAAATATTCACATGAATTAAAATTTTAAATTTACTAGAATTACTAGAATTCACATGAGTGCCGCCTAGGGATGTTAAATTGATCTATTGCTGTATTGATCTGATCTAAATCTAATCAAGTTTCAATTACTGTATAATTTTATGCCCAGTTTGTTCCTTGAGTGTTGTCTGGAGAAAATCTATCATCGGGTTTTCAATTATATTTTGTCAAAATATAATTGAAAACCCGATGATAGATTTCCCCTAGACGGCACTCAGGGAACAAACTGAACACAAATTATAATTGAAAGCTCGATGAAGGCTTTTCTTTGGCGGCATTCATGTGTTCGTGTAAAGCCATTCATTACAATGTCTTTAAATGACCAATCAGATTCATTTTAAACTGGACAGATAGGGTTGTTAATGGGTTAGGTTTGGTTGGGTTGATCCAGACTTGCTCCAAATTTATAAACATATTATTAAACCACTCCTATTGACAGATATTATTATTAATATCTTTTTAATGGTAGGTTATTTTAAAAAAAAAATTTTTATTTGATTCATCTAAACTAATTATTATAACTAATTCTAAAATTATATATAATTTTGGCTTGCATCGCATCGAGTTTATGTGGTGTAAAGAAATAAATTTAAAATTTTAATTCATGTGGTTTTTGTTGCTACTGTAAACAGCTCTATTATATATAATTTTTTTTAAAAAAGCAAATTTATTAAGATCAGCTTATTTTTTTTTTTTTTGGATAAATATGATATATTTTAAAAGGCAAAACTTTTTAACTAGCAAGACTTAGGATCGGTTTTCGGAACACGTGATTGCCTCGGAAAAACAGAGCGACTCGGGGCATAATTTTTATCGCACAAATTTACGCGCATTTGGTTTATTTGTTTACATTACACCGTTAGGAACATCACGTGTTCGACAATCGCTCCGGTGTTGTGTTTAGGGTTCTGCAAGTGGATATACTCCATTGGAGCGAATGGAGCCCAATGGAGCCAATAGTTCCAATAATGAGCCGATGAAGAACAGGGCTCATATATCGATAGCTCGACCTGTTTGATAAATAGGTCAAATAGATCAATGTCAATGGCTTCCATTGGCTCCGTTCAAAGTTATTCTCAATGGAGTTGTTCTCCATTCGCCCCAATGGATAAATGTGCCAATCCTGGTGACTGGGTAGCCAGGCAGAACCCTACTTACTAGCAAATATTTTCTATTTAAAAAAAAAAAAATCTAAACGTAACATATTTAAAAAAATTTAGTTTCTAAAGCGTGGAAAGCTCGTGCAACAGATAACGCTCTTTGGAAAAATCAATGTACCCTCGCCGGTTTCCCTACCACTTCGATACCTTCATCCTTTAACTACGATACCGAATCCGATGATTTTTTTTATCAATTATATAAATATCACTTTATAGTCCAGAACAATTGGAATAAGAAATTATTTACCCAGGATCTCATTCTTGGTCACAAAGAAAGTATCACATGCATCGTCGGATCTGAATTAAGCAATATATTCTACTCGGGTTCTTTTGATAGGACCATTAATGTTTGGGATATATCCAGTAAAACTTGCCTCAAGACTTTGGAAGGTCATCACTCCGCAGCGATTCAATGTTTAGCTCTGGCTCAATCAACACTCGCATCAGGAAGTTGGGACAAATCAATCATCGTGTACGATATAACAAAAGATTATGATATCAAACGCAAGTTCTTGGGACACGCAGCTGGCATTATATCTTTAGAAATAAGTTCCAATGAAACACTTCTTTTTTCTGGATCCGTCGATAAAACTATAAGAATATGGAATATTGACACCGGCGACTGTTTACATAGATTGTATGGTCACGATGGCACAGTAGGTACATTAACTCTAGTTCCTCAGCCCTCCACTGATGGTCAAGATGATCTATATTGGCTTGTATCCGGTTCTAATGATACAAACATTTTTGTATGGGATCTTGATCAATTATGCTCAAAAAAACCTCAAATTATTAAAAGATTGGAAGGGCATACCAGAGCGATAACCTGCTTAGCCTGGCATAAAGATATAATAAAGCAAATTATTGATCACAATCAAAGGAATTTCAATTATCAGAATCCAGCTCCTATCAGTACTATGGATTTTTTATCTATTAACTCTTCTAGTTCATCACCTCAAACGAATAATGAAGATAATGAAATTGATGAAAATGATGAAAATAATGAAAATGATATGAATGAAAATTATATGGATCTGGATTCTTATACATCATCTAATAATTGTGATCGATCGCAAAATTTTCACAATCGTTTCAATTCGCAAAATTCATTATTATCTACGAACACGAACAATACAGTACCTTCCACACCCCCTCATAGTCCTATTATGCAATTAAGTGACTCAGAGAAATCCTTAATTACGCTACCAATTTTTTCAGCCTCGGCAGATTCCACAATTCGCATGTGGGATTTGTCAACAGGTAGATCACTTCTTTATACTAACGATCATATAGACATCGTCTGGCAGGTTCAATGTAATTCGTCACGTCTCGTTTCCGTTTCTTCTGATGGTTTTATCAAAACTCGTAAATGGCGATGTAATCACAGCCATTTTGAAAACCAACAAATTGGATTCGACTCTTTAATCGCTCCAGGAATTAAACCATGTTTTAAAATTTCATGTCCAGCAATAACACTTACTCAAGTCGATCGCAGTGTGACATGTTTTAAAATGACACACGAATGGTTGGTCTGTGGAACGGAAGATGGCGTCCTTATAGCACTGAAATTCGTTGAATCACAGAATTAACATTTTTTTTTTCGAAATTAAGCATTCGATAAACAATTAAGAGTCCTATTATAATTGAATCGGTTTTTTCCCCCCTCTCAATATATATGCATATATGTATTTCTCGAGAAAACAAAAAAAAAACGAAAAAAAAAACGAAAAAAACGATAAAAGAAAAAAAAAACGGAAAAAAGATAAAAAAAAGAACACACACACAACAAAAAATTATGTGAAATCGTTAATCGCTACGTACAAATGGATAAATTTTGAAATTCGATAAATCGAGAGAAAGTAACAATCATGTGGTGGGCAATTAATCACCAATCACCTCGTTCATCTCCCTTATTTGAATAATTAAGCCGCAGAAAAAAACTATAAATTTTAAGTAAAATAAAAAAAATTTCGTGCTTGCCGTTTAATCGCTTAAAATGTTTATCAGTTATAATTTACGTGTAACACGTTAATAGTTTGAGATACTTAATTTGGTTAAAATGTACGACTCGCAAAAACAAAATTTCGGATCTCGGAAAAAATTCAAAGTTTATGACTAATAACGATAAATATATTTCATAATCCATATAATAGCATAATACTTTATTGAAGAATGAATTTTTTAACGGGCTTAAAATATATTTTAGGGTAAATTAAATTAAATTATTTTATATGAGTTATAGTAAAGAAAATTGACTCAGCGTTGCCATCACGTGTAAACCTTTATTAAGAGTGTTTATCATTATTTAATTATATGATCGTTGACACGAATCTAAACTTCAGGAATTCCGATGAACTGTCAATTTTCATGTGAACGTGATTACATTGTATTTAATACGTATAAGCCAATATTATATTTTTCCGCGAATCATTTTTGGGCATACTAAAGTTTTATAGTTTTATTTATTCTATAGTGTAAAAATAACATGTATTTTATTATCTACTGTAATCGCACTTTCAAATATCATGCCTATAGATACCAAATTTGTCATGGCAGATTCTCGATTTTGATTTGCTGCTTCGTTTAAATATTATAAAATTGTTTTTTTTTAATACTTTGAACGAAAATAATTCTTAAATTTTTTACCGTATCTGCGCGTAATAGGGGCGTTATTTTGAGCCATGACCCGAATTAAGCTTAGTTTAGGCCGAAATTCGAAATTACACTCCTGCGCGTTATTACGCGCAAATACGGTATTTGAATTTCATATATTCGTAGGATTCAATATATAAATATATATATTCATTAAATTTGTTTAGTTATTTTGATATCTTAGTTCAAACCAGAGTTGGCATCAATCCTAACCAATTTGACTAGTCTGGTCCAAGAGTTTGATACTGGTTAAATTGGCAAACCAGTCAAACTATATGGGGTGGAGTCAATAGAAAAGGAGAAATTTTTTCTAAATGAAAGTTTTCTTGACTTTAAGCTTAAATATCTTAGCAATTATCTTAACAAATTTAATAAATTTTTTTTTATTTTAATTCTTTATAATTTCAAAATTAAAATAAAAAAATTTTTAGCAAGTTTGATTATTTGTTGAGATCAATGCTCTTTTTGATAATCACTTTTATCAAAAATTTTCAAAAAACATTTTACTAGGAAAAAATACAAATGGCCATATTAAACTATAAGACTTAAATTACAAACCTTATAACAGCAACTATAGTTTAGAGATAGTTTTTATATGCTATTTTCTAATTTTTTTTAGAGTTTATCACTTAATGTTACTATAGGCATGGTACTTGTTATTTAGAGATAGTTCTTATATGTTATCTGCTGACAAGTTCAAAGTTTATTACTCACCAAAAAGACTTATATTCCAGTGTGGCTACAGTTAATTCTAGTAAAAGAAACTCACACTCTTTTATTTTGTGTACAAGTAGTTTTTACTCTCTTTACTTTACCTCTTTGTCACTTTCACAAAAATTTTGACAAAAAGTGGGTATTCTAGCTTATCCTTTTCAAAAGATTAGCATTGTTTACACTTTCCATTTTCAGACAGATGAAGTAAAATATAAATACAGAATTGTTTTGGCAATAATATTCTTACACATGTAACAAACTAATTAGCACTTTGGTTAATAAACCAACCTGGATTAGACAATATAGTTGGAAGAAAATTTAAGAATAAGGCTTAGCTTTACAATAGAGATATACAAGATTTTTAAATTTAGTATATAATTTTTACGACTATGTCTGGTTGGGCTATAATAGTACTTTTATAGATCGTGCTTTTTTTCTGCCTTTTTTTTCTTTTTTCTTTTGTTTTTGTTATTCATTTTCTTGTTGCTTAGATAGTTTTTTTCTTCACTTTTTTTGTTTTGTTTTCTTATTTTTTGTTAGTATTAGTTTTTTTTTTTTTTATAAGTCAGTTTAAAACTATGAATCTTTTTGCTTGGGAAGCTAGAAGAAGAAAATTAGAAAAGAAGATAATCTTGATAGGCTATAAATACTATTCAGTGATGTATTAATTTATTCAGTTGTAGAATTTTTTGGTATGAAGATAAACTTTATTATAGCTGATTGAACATGGGTAATTTGAATATTTCAGTGTTATAAAGAGCTAAATTAGCTGATACTTGTAATTTAGGTAGACTTTAAATAACTTGAGCTAAAAACTATATTTTTCTTGTAAGTTAAATATTATATCCTAATAAAGTATTGGCAAGATTGCCAAATTGTTATTAAAAAAAAAAAAAAATTAATTGTTGAGATATTTTAATTTAAAAATTAAAAAAATTTCATTAAAAATAATTTGTCTTTTTTTTTATTGACTCTACTCTATATACTATATACAGTATATATTATTATATTAAATATTTAATTAAACAAATAATTTAGGCTGTTGTCAATAGAAATAAGGCAGATTGATATTTTAAAAAAAAGTAATACCTTAATTTTTACAGCTTTTATTTTGATAGATTTTGAAGCTATCTTAATTATTTAATAGTCAAAAGAAAGCTTATAATCTAAGCTTTCTTTTAAATACTAAATTATCAAGATAGTCTCAAAGTTCATCAAAATATAAGCTGTGAAAATTAAGGCATTAATTTTTTAAAAAATATCAATCTGTTTTATTTCTATTGACAGCAGCCTATTTAGAGTTAGAGTACAGTTTGAAGCATATAAAAAGGTTATATATAATAGTTTAAAATTTAGAACTATCTCTAGCTCTAATTATTTAATATATTTTAAAAAACAGAAACTTATAGTGCTAAATAGTAAAATAGATTATTTAACTAATTTGATTAAACTAGTTTAACTAAAAAGTTTTATTATTAAATAATAAATTAATTTAACTTTTTTAAAACAAAAAATAAATAAGTTTTTATCTATTTTTAATTAACAACAAAGTAGATCTTAAAGTAGTAGTTTTTATAAAAGTTAACCTTCTTTTTCTTTTCAGAGACTCCTTTATATATTCAACACACAAGCTAAAAGTGTTTTTATACAAGATAACTAGCAGGAGATAGTATCTTTGTATAAAAATTTTGATAAAAAAACAATATTTTTCTCATTAATGAAGCTCTTTAGACAGTCTTGAACAAAGATAAATGGAAACAACAAACTTGGTATTGTTTTTTACATACTCTCTAAAATTTTTATCGCACAAATTTACGCGCATTTGGTTTATTTGTTTACATTACACCGTTAGGAACATCACGTGTTCGACA